ACTGGAGAGAAGCCCTACAAATGTAAAGATTGTGGCAAAGCTTTCAGTCTAAAATCACACCTTATTCCACACAGAAGAACCCACACTGGAGAGAAGCCCTACAAATGTAAACATTGTGGCAAAGCTTTCAGTCAAAAATCACACCTTATTGGCCACTGCAGAACTCACACTGGGGAGAAGCCCTACAAATGTAAAGAATGTGGCAAAGCTTTTAGTCAAAAAGCAGACCTTTTTAGGCATAGAAGAACTCACACTGGAGAGAAGCCCTACAAATGTAAAGAATCTGGCAAAGCTTTCAGTCAAAAAGTAGGCCTTATTTCCCACAGCAGAACACACACTGGAGAGAAGCCCTACAAATGTAAAGATTGTGGCAAAGCTTTCAGTCAAAAATCACATCTTATTTGCCACAGAAGAACTCACACTGGAGAGAAGCCCTACAAATGTAAAGAATGTGGCAAAGCTTTTAGTCAAAAAGCAGACTTTTTTAGGCACAGCAGAACTCACACTGGAGAGAAGCCCTACAAATGTAAAGAATGTGGCAGAGCTTTCAGTCAAAAAGTAGGCCTTATTCACCACAGCAGAACACACACTGGAGAGAAGCCCTACAAATGTAAAGATTGTGGCAAAGCTTACAGTCGAAAATCATACCTTATTTGTCATAGCAGAACTCACACTTGAGAGAACCTAACAAATGCAAAGGATGTGACAAAGTTTTTACTCAAATATCAACCCTTATTTGCCACAATGGAATTCACACTGGAGAATAACCCTACAAATGTGAATAAGTGACAAAACTTTTAATAAAAAATAAAACTTTATTCACCACAGCAGAAGATACCCTGGCGAATGTGAAATATAAATAAAGTGATTAAACCTCATTAACAACAGAATTTATACAGAAAAGAACCCCTACAAATGAAAACAATGTAGCAAAGCTTTTAATAAGAAATCAATTCTTTTTCACCACTATTTATTCTGGAATGAAGACATAAATGTAGAGAATGTAGAAACATTTTAAATTATATATCATATATTACTAGATATCAGAGAAAACACACTGGAGAGAAGGTTTACAAACGAGACCCTCATAACATTCCTCTAAGAAAGAGTCAATATTTAATCCTCACCAAAATAACCATAGAAGAGACAAAGTTTTGAAATAAGAAAACTGACAATGTGGCAATGCCTCCAAAATTTATTCACCAATACTCAGCACCTGTGGATACATACTGGTTAGAGAGAATACAAATGGAAAAAAAAATTCATAACCACATGTTTCTTAAACACTACTGATTTTTGGAGAATTCATTGTGCCTAGAAAACCTAAAAAGTTAAATAATATTTTGGAAACTTATTCAAATTTTAAATTCATTGAACATCTGAAAACTCATACCAGTAGTAATCATTGAACAGATTTTGTCCTTATATAAAAATGAATCATTTATAATAAACACTTTGACAAATGTGAGAGTATAGTAAAGTCATTATCTATATATTACACATTAATGTATATGAGGATCAGTAAAAGACATTACTCATTTAAATATAGAAAATAAGTAGTTGTCTTTAACTTTTGCTTAGATTTTTAAGCATTATCAGGTTATTTGGTAGAAATATCAGTCAAATATCATACATGCATAGTACAGAAACCTCATCTTTGAAAGCATATAATTTTTGTTTTCTAAATCAAAAATTACTGTTTTCATTTTTGAATACTGGAGAAAAGAATTATATTAAATCTATTTTTGATGTTTAACACTGAATTATAACATTTAAACTGTATTTTTTTTTGTATTTTAGTTTGTATTAGGGATTTTTAAACACTGATCCACATTCCTAAGCGCTCTCCCCACTTTTTCAAATTATGAGACTGTCTTGCTAAGTTGCTTGAAACCACACTAAGTTGCTGAGTCTGAATATATACTTCTGAAACTAATCAGTTTTCCAATTTGCTTTGATTACAAGCATGGACCATCCTGCCCAATTTATAGTACATTTTTTTACCTATATTTACCTTATGTTTTCAATATGTCCTTATAACTGAGTATTTATGTGTTAACACACATGCATTTCATCCTGTTGTTAAATGACAGACATCAAATTGTTCCACTTGACTAAATGTTGTATGTAACAGTAAAACATACTATTGAGTAAATACTATTCTAGCATCTCATAATTCCTTTACACATTTTAATCAAACTTAAAGGGGAATATAACGTGCATAAGCCAGATCATTATACTTTTTTCTGTTTGTATTTATGGTGAAATTAAGAGTTATAAGAAGGACATACATATAGGAAAATAAGCTCCAGATTTTCATGTCTTGAATTACAAATTTTAACATTTTAATTTTTAACATTTTAGCATATCCTAGTGATTTAAATAGACTGAATTTCCACAAACTTATAGGTAGCTCTTGCAGGAGAGAAAAGCTTTATCTTTCTTGTGTGTGCATAATGGCCTTCTAGACTTCAGCCTCATTGGAAAAATTTCATTTTTCTGTGAATGAGGCCAATGATCAGTATTTTAATGAACATTAGTAAATTCTGACATCACTGTTATTTTATAGGTTGTGTTATTTCAGGGCAGGAATCAGAGAAAAGGATCTGGAGTCAAGGTTGAGTGAGGCCTTATACTTATGACAAAATAATCAATGAGCTATGTTTCATAGTCTTATTTTCCTTGGACCAATTAGTAAGAGGTAAATCGAYAAGGTTGTATGTAAAGATTAAGTTTCTTATCATTAAATCTTGGCTTACCACCTACAATAGGGAAAAGGCTTCGTATACATGGAATCCATACAAAAATTGTATTGAATATCATTCACAATTTTATTAATATTACATATAATTCATGAAGAACTGAATTTACAAGAATATATGGCTAAGAACAAGGTATGGGGATATTGTACACACTCCAATATAGACATATTTATACCAATTTAATTATACATGAAACTACACTAAATGAGAAAAAAAATCAATTGGATCAACACACAACTATATACAAATAAAAACTTGTAAAGACTTAAGCAAGAGACCAATAGTGGATGAAGTGTGGCTTCCAAATGCTAGGAGAAAAATGGACATATAATCAGTTAGAGGTAATTGAATAAAGATAAGTTACCCACTTTGAGCTAGAACAGCATTTGAAAGAAAAAGAGTCACAAAGTTAGCAAAAATTATTCACTTCCATTTGTATGCTTTGCAATACATTCCAAAAAATTTCTGCATGTTTTATTTCAGTAAAATTGGGAAAAAATCCAGAAAGTTAAAAAAGACAAGTATTGCTCCTCTGGTTTTAAAATCAAGAAAAAAAATAGAGAGAGATTTATTGAGYTAGAAAAAGTTACTAGTTAGATGTAAAAAAAATAGAACTGAGATTTCCAGAGTCTCAATATAATGTATTTCAGCTATGTCTGGCTGCACAGGGCATTTTTGTTTAACGAACAATTTGTTCACTTATGTACAGCTTAAAGAACATTGGTGGTTTTAGTCAGTCTTTTTTATTAATAACAATGGTGTTCTTTTCAACAGTTTCTAGCCACAAAAATACACAATTTCAGAAATCTTCTGGTTCATCCTCCATATATTCTGCCACAATACTCACCAGGACAAGATAATATAAACCTTTTGGCAGCCCCATCAAAGCATTCACTTCTATAATTTTAAGGTGAAACATATACTGCAGAGAAAAGTATGATACATGGAACAACATAGTTTTACTTAGTAAAAATAAGTTTTTGATGAAAAATATATCCCAACTGCTTTGTCTTGGGATTGAATTAGAAAAATATGAGGTAATTATACTTTGTATTATGACTTCAGGCTATGAGCCTTAAAATACAAAAGAATATTTTATGTTTATTTTTAAATATACTTTTTATATTTCAAACATTCAAATAAAATTCCACAGCAATCAATGATTAAAAAAAAAAAAAAACTTGAGAAAAACAACTGCAGTTTGGTGTCTCATCATGACCTTTCAATACCTGCTGTAGATTGCCTCTGGGTTCCACTTTTAATTTAAAAAATAATAATTTTTCCATACAATTTGGRTGAAGTGGAGGACAAAATCTCCTGCATTGTTTTCCTGGGCAAGCTGTCATACTTGAAACAACTGAACCCCAAATCAAAATATCTTTACATTCTAATTATATGTGTTCTTAACTGATCTAGCATAAAACAAATCCACTTTCTTCTTGTTGAATAACTTGAGCCCAAAGATATGTAACCTGAGAGCTAAAAGAAGTATGACATAAATGAAGAGGTCTTTTTTTGTATAAGGCAAATTTCACTTTTTTGTATTTGGGTTTTCTGCTTGTGAAGATGTACACTTCTCTACCTACAATGGTATTATGATTGATGGTGACTTGTGTGAATACACAAGGCTTAAAATGCAGCTACATGATTTTGAGTTCTTTCCCTGGTAAAAAATACTATAATTTGTACTCTGATAGGAGACTCAAAATGGTGCAAGACAAACCTATTTTTTTATCTGCCTCTTTATTCATGGTATTCTAATGGTTTGATCTAGTCAGTTCAGACCATTTCTGATTAATGGGTATCATTAAGATGTAGCCATGTATTCAAATTCCCCCTATGATCAGTAGCATTTCTTCCCATTAAAAATCAAAACATTTTCATAGAGTCTTTGCTATATTTTAAGGAGCCAATCTTGCTTTTACTTTACTAAACAGAATCAATTCCACATAGTTGAGTCTCAAAGTAAATGACAATACATTAACCTAAGCACCTTGAGGAATATAAGAAATATAAGATATCACCTTTGAAATATCATAAATGCTAAGCCATTACCTTCTAAACTATACCAGGGCTTATAAAATGTAATCTTAGATGTTCTACTCGCTCTCATAGTAAGAGGCCTTAGACTCAAAGTCATTTTATCTTGTTGTTTTAGTCTGTTTTATAATGCTATAGAAAAATGCCAGAACCAGTCCAATGTATAAAAAGAGATATAAATTCATAAAAATGTTTTCTCAGGGGCTGGGGTTTTGGCTCAGTGGTAGAGTGCTCACCTAGCACATGCAAGGAGCTGGGTTCAATCCTCAGCACCACATAAAAATAAATAAATTAAATAAAGGTATTGTGTCCCACTACAACAAATAAATAACTAAATAAAATAAATAAATAAATAAAATATTTTTTGAGTACATAGTTCTGAAGATTTAAGTGCATTGTACCAGAATCTTCTCAGCTCCTGTGACAGCCCCCTCACCTGCATTACACATTGTGGTGAGGGATCATTTGAGAGGTAGACAGAACATAAGGAGAGAGGAAGTCAGAGAAATCCAGTAAGAAGACTTGCTCTTTTTGTAACAATCTGCTTTAATAGGAACTATCTTGTGTCCCATGAAAATTTCATTAACCCTTTCCAAGGTCATCTCCCCCAATGATCTAACCACAATCTACTAGAACTCACTTCTTAAACATTTTACTATTTTCCAACTCTCTCCCTTTGGAAACTAAGTTTCTAACACATGAGCATTTGAGGGACATACTCAATTCATAATGAAAGTAATATGAGAAAGATAATGGTAAAAATGAGACATTCTATGTCATTTCTTAGTACTTATAAAGTTTCTAGATACTACAATAAAATGCTTTAGAATATAGAAATTATTTCAGGTGAAGATTTTTTTTAAGACCATAGGAAATTCAATTAAACTACTTCTTGAAGAAAATACATTTGAATGTGACAAGACTAATGGGCTAGGTATCTTAAAAGAAGGGAAAAGTCTGTGTAA